GAAAATTTTCATTTATGCTCAATCAGAGCAAGGCTAAGTTTAAAGGCATAAACGTCCTCAGAAATGCGGACGCAAAAAATTCTTTAGCATATAGTAGGGTTAAAATGCTGTTAAACGCTGGTAAGTGCTGCCCTAAAAGTTTCTGGTTTTCAGATCTTTCAAATCAATAGCAGTATGATGCAAAGCCTTTGAAGGGTTAATTCGCTCTAAAGAAAGTTATAAAGGGTTCCTGCAATAGATAATCCGCTGATAGAGCAAATACGTTAGTATACTATGTATAATAGTCAACGGACTTTCTGAATTCTTCGCATTTTCAACGGAAACATTATTTAGCGCAAACATTGAAGTTCCTTAACATAGCAACACGTTTGAGTGTTATTAGCCAGAATTTCTTGGTAGGAAGGTGAGAAACATCCTTATTGAAAAATAAAGTAGCGTACCACTGGAGTTTGAAAAGAAGACAATTAGCTCCAATCTATTTGCATTATAAAGTTATAGTAGCACTTGGGGAGGACTTTAAATGGTTCTTCAAAAAATAAAATCAACATCACAACAACAGAATTAGTCCAATAGTGAACAGACTCATAATTGTCTTTGTGCTTCCACTTGTTGTTGCAGGAATACTGATGTTGGTATTGCTGACTGTAATCACCTTGCCAAGACTACGATTTTCTGGACTTTTTGTCCATTGCGGAGATGATGCCTTGTTCAGTTCCGAAAAGTACAACGGTGATAGTGATCGCATGTCCTTGGATGTTGTATGTTTCCATGAATGGGTGTACATTCTTGAAATTGCTTCCCCGGATCGTGAAACGTTGTCTACAAAAATGGACTCTTTAATTTGTGGGATATTTTCGTTTGGCAGCTTGAGTGTAGGTATAAAATCTTCAAGAGGATTCAGTATTATTTGTGGAGTTAAGTCATTCGGAGAGGCTGAAGTTGACAAAAATTCAGAAATCGTGTAATAGTTGTACAGTGGTTCGACAGTTGGAGCATCTAATTGTAGTGTTGGTTTAGACGGTAGAACGGGTTTAGGACTTGTAATTTCTGATTTTTGTTCCAAGGTTGATTGGTGGAAAGGAATAACAGTGCTTTCAGTTTTCAATGAAGGGCTCTCAAAATCGACGGACGTTGCCTGTTCAGGTGAGGCAGCGTTCAATCTTACTAATCCTTTAGGCGATAGAGTCGATAGTTGACGACGTCTTAGTTTTTCTCTCAAGTCTGAGAAATCAAAAAATATGTTATTACCATTATGCCCATTCTCGCTAAACCTTGTTGTGGGATAAGTAGGTACCATCAGAATTGGGTAGGCGAACAAAACTGAAAAAAAAATCAATGGGATGTTTAGCAAAACTTCTTATTCTTCAATCCTATAAAATGGTGTTTTTTCCATCAAAAGTCAGTGCCGTTCTGTTTACCTTTTGGACTACGTATACAACAACGGATGGAGCAAAATGCCTGTGGTTCACGCAGTAGTATTTGAAAAGGTACATCAATTCAGTTAAAGTATTAGTTTTTGGTGCACGATATGTGTTCCTTATTGCCCAATTTTCAGCTCCCACTATGAAAAAATGATGTTAAACATCCATAAATACGAAGATTTTTCATTGATTCTG